TGTGCCCTGAGAAAGAGATATGTGCAGCTCCTATCGGGATTTGTCGGCATGTTCGGGCGGTGTTGCTAGTCTTGTTTTAACCTGTCGAAGTGTCTTGAAGAACCGAGAAACCGAGTCTGATCGGTACGTCTTGGGAGGAGGTCTATTCCTTCGTTGACCGTGAGAGCTTGTCATGGGCTAAGTTGGGACTCCCCTGCAGGGATTTGAACTTTCAAAAGCCGTGCCCACGGTTATGGGCAGATGGGAATTTGTTAATGTCCAGTTGTAGATAACTTGAACCTTAACTTAATTAAAATAAATCAACTGAGTGTGTTGCCGTGATGGCCTCTTCTCGGCGGAGTCCGGGAAGCGGACACGGTGTTGGAGTAATGCTTGCGCAGGTTGCTCTCTAGTTTCTCGCTCGCGCTTTGCCTCCTCTTCTCGCTCTCTTTTGCGAATAGGATAGTCACCATATTTGCTAGTCGCTTGCTGTAGCTCCACATATTTACCTTGCCTTACCTATAAGCTTAAATAGTCTTGATCGCGAGGGTGCGAGATTGCTGAGTCCCTGTGGCTCACAGATTACTATTACACCAGATGCAGGGCCTGATGATTCCGCTCCAGGTGACGCGCTTGAGCTCAAGTGGGAGTTCGACGAAGACTCTCAACGTTACTATGTTTCCTTTCCTGATGATCAGTAGTGGTGCCCAGTTGGGGGTGATCGGGACCGTGTCGCATGTTGGGTTATCTTTTATTTTGGTGCCGTAGTCGGGCCATGGGTGTTTGGATGATGTAATGTTATTTATGTACCTTGATTGACGTGGCGAGTGTAAGCCAACTATGTTATCTCCCCTTTTATTATCTATATTACATGGGATGTTGTGAAGATTGCCTAACTTGCGACATATGCCTTCAATGCAATTATGCCTCTAACTCGTGCCTCGACAAGTGGGAGATATAGTCGCATCGAGGGTTTTACAGTCGTAAAGGGTTACGCCGATGCAAACTTTGACACTAATCCGGATGACTCTGAGTAGTAAACCGGATTCGTATAGTAGAGCAGTTATTTGGAATAGCTCCAAGTAGCGTGTGGTAGCTGCATCTACACGATGACATAGAGATTTGTAAAGCACACATGGATCTGAAACGTTCAGACCCATTGACTAATAAACCTCTCTCACAAGCAAGATATGAACAAACCTCATGGGTGTTGGATTCATTACAATCACATAGTGATGTGAACTAGATTATTGACACTAGTGCAAGTGGGAGACTGTTGGAAATATGCCCTAGAGGCAATAATAAAATGGTTATTATTGTATTTCCTTGTTCATGATAATTGTCTATTGTTCATGCTATAATTGTATTAACTCGAAACCGTAATACATGTGTGAATACATAGACCACAATATGTCCCTAGTAAGCCTCTAGTTGACTAGCTCGTTGATCAATAGATGGTTATGGTTTCCTGACCATGGACATTGGATGTCATTGATAACGGGATCACATCATTAGGAGAATGATGTGATGGACAAGACCCAATCCTAAGCATAGCACAAGATCGTGTTGTTCGTTTGCTAAGAGCTTTTCTAATGTCAAGTATCATTTCCTTAGACCATGAGATTGTGCAACTCCCAGATACCGTAGGAATGCTTTGGGTGTACCAAACGTCACAACGTAACTGGGTGGCTATAAAGGTGCACTACAGGTATCTCCGAAAGTGTCTGTTGGGTTGGCACGAATCGAGATTGGGATTTGTCACTCCATATGACGGAGAGGTATCTCTGGGCCCACTCGGTAATGCATCATCATAATGAGCTCAATGTGACTAAGGAGTTAGCCACGGGATCATGCGTTACGGAACGAGTAAAGTGACTTGCCGGTAACAAGATTGAACGAGGTATTGGGATACCGACGATCGAATCTCGGGCAAGTAACATACCGATTGACAAAGGGAATTGTATACGGGATTGATTGAATCCCCGACATCGTGGTTCATCCGATGAGATCATCGTGGAACATGTGGGAGCCAATATGGGTATCCAGATCCCGCTATTGGTTATTGGCCGGAGAGATGTCTCGGTCATGTCTGCATGGTTCCCGAACCCGTAGGGTCTACACACTTAAGGTTCAGTGACGCTAGAGTTGTTATGGGAAATAGTATGTGGTTATCGAAGGTTGTTCGGAGTCCCGGATGAGATCCTGGACGTGACTAGGAGTTCCGGAATGGTCCGGAGGTGAAGATCGATATATTGGACGAAGGGTATTGGAGTCCGGAATTGTTCCGGGGGTATCGGGTGACGACCAGCGTGTCCGAAAGGGGTTTCGGAGGCCCCGACAAGTGTTGGGGGGCCTTATGGGCCAAGGGGAAGGGGCACACCAGCCCACTAAGGGGTTGTGCGCCCCTTCCACCCCATCTCACGTAACCAGGAGAGGTGGGGGCGCCTCCCCTAGGGCAGCCTCCCCTCCTGGCTTGGGGGGCAAGTCTCCTAGGGTTGGGGGCGCCCAAAACCCATCTAGGGTTCCCTCCATGGCCGCCGCCCCTCCCCTAGATGGGATCTGAAGGGGCCGTCCCCCTCTCCCCTTCTCCTATAAATAGTGGGGGTGGAAGGGCTGCCAGAAGACCTAGACCCTTCCCATGGCGCAGCCCCTACCCCTCTCCTACACCTCCTCCTCCTCTGCAGCGCTTGGCGAAGCCTTGCCGGAGAACCACGGGCTCCATCACCACCACGCCGTCGTGCTGTCGGAGTTCTCCCTCAGCTTCTCCTCTCCCCTTGCTGGATTAAGAAGGAGGAGACGTCCTTGGGCTGTACGTGTGTTGAACGCGGAGGCGCCGTTGTTCGGCGCTTATATTGGAATCGACCGCGATCTGAATCGCTGCGTGTACGACTCCACCAACCAGGTTCTTGTAACGCTTCAGCTTAGCGATCTTCAAGGGTATGAAGATGCACTCCCTCTCTCTCGTTGCTAGTACCTCCTAGATTGATCTTGGTGACACGTAGGAAAATTTTGAATTATTGCCACGTTCTCCAACAATATCTTTTGACATGATGATGTGGTACACATTCTCCGAATCCCACTTAGAGATGGTGCCCAAGATTTCATGGCGTGGCAGTATGATAACAAAGGGGCCCATTCTGTCAAAAGTGCCTATAAGTTATATGTAGAACTGGAGAAGACACGGAGGGATGGAGGTGTTGGTGCGAGCTCCATGGTTCCTGGGAATTTAAGTAGAATAAGGGATGAATCCTGGAAGAGAATTTGGAAGTTACCTTGTCCCAGAAATATCCAAATGTTCACTTGGAGGCTTAAACACGAGTCCCTTGCGCTTCGTACCGCGGTTGCACGGAGGGGTATACCCATTGAAGACACTAAGTGTCTCTTCTGCAGTTGTGGGGAGGAGGATGGGGCGCATCTCTTCGTCAAATGCAAGCTTGCGAAGGAAGTGTGGCGGGACCTAACTCTGGAAAAGGAAAGAAGCGATCTGGAGAAGCTGGAGGGCGTGCATGCAATGATAGATTATATCTGGGGGCTAGATGAAAAAAAGAGGTTGCACATCCTCACTTTTTGGTGGCTATGGTGGGCCAATAGAAACAAGGCGAGGGAGGGTGAGATGCCGTTACCACTTGCAGAAGTGGCACGGCAAACGAGGAGCAGCGTCCTTGAATATGTGCAGATCTTCTACACGAAGGTCCACAAGCCGAAGCCGGACAAGTGGCGCCCACCTACTGCTGACGTTTATAAAATCAATGTTGATGGCTCGTTTGTGCCGGGGCAGCAGCATGCAGGATGGGGCGTAGCAGTGAGGGTGGCCGATGGCTCACTGGTGCATGCCAGGGCGGGACGACCAGAGCACACGTCAGATGCCTTTGCGGCTGAAGTGGTCGCTATGTCCCATGCAATCACCACTGCATCTGATCTTGGAAAGATCAGGGTGGAGTTCAAGACGGATTTTCAACTCCTGGCCGAAGCCCTAGATGTGCGCAAGGTGGATTCATCGGCGTATGCGGTCGCTATAGAAGACATGAAGTATCAACTAAAGCTTTGGTTTTCTCAGTTTTCTATTTCTGTTTGTAGACGTGGTGCGAATTCTGTGACACATAAGCTAGCCAATATTGGCCGCCAATGTGAACCCGACCACTGTTTGGTTTGGGAGTCCGATGTACCAGCCCGAGTGGGTGAATGTGTTGTGGGCGATATGCCTCACCACAGTTAAGTAATGAAGCTATGCTTTCCTAAAAAAAATCCCCAATTTTGATCTTTCACCATTTCCTCTATTTTGTGCGCAGCAACCGGAACTGAATGCGTATATATGAGAGGCGTTTTACACAAGTAACATGTCACTCCTGTGTTAGTATTAGATCAAGGGGCATCTTAAGTTATCCTGGAATTATTACTGCAACCATCAGTCTCTGGGCAATGAATGCACTCCCTCTGTAAAAAAATATAAGATTGTTTAGATCACTAAATATTATTGTACTAATCCCGTCATGTTGTCATTAGCTGGTTCTTCTTCGGGTAATCAGCAATCTCGTAACTCGACGGAGGCATTGTTGAGCCATAGTTCAGATAAGAGTTGACATCTTGAGGGAAAAGATGTACTATTTCAGATAAGAGTTGACATCTTCAAGCAATATAAGAGTTGACATCTTCAGACCCATAGCACAGAACTCTGATCTAACCTAAAGCTCTATGCATAATCTCTTCTCACAATCGCAGGCATAAATTAAATAGAACAAAATAAAAACGCAGCACCATCCAAAAACTCCTGTTTTGTTTCCTAAACTGGAAAGGGGAAGAGACTGACAACTCACACATAGGAGTATGAAGTATTTACAGAACCATCATGGAAGGACGCCCTAATCACCAGCAGAAGACGATCTTCTGCCCCATCCACAGATGGGCAGGGTCACCAAAGAAAAAGTAAAAGAAAGAAAAATCCTAATACACGACGAGAGAGCCCGAGGGGACGACGACGACGACCCAGCTAGAAAATAAAAAAAAGGGGGGCGGCCCTAGGACTAGGAGTCGCCGCCGATGGAGATGGCGGGGCGGCCGACCCGGCCGAGCGGCGAGCGCGAGCGGTGCCGGCCGAGGTCCCGGAGGACGAGGCGCATCTCGGCCAGCTGCTGCTGCTGCTGGTACGTGTCGTCCACCTTCACCTTGTCGCCCTCCTCCTCTTTGATCTTCCTCACCTGGCTGTGCACCACCCGCGCCGCCGCCAGCCGCCGCCCTTCCTCGTCCCACGAATTCTCCATCGCCGGACCTCACGTGGCTTCTTCCTCTGATCTTTCTCGCGCCTCCGGATGACGACGACGACCGCCGATGAGATGAGATGGGAGATGTGTAAATGCACCAGTGCCACCGGTTCAACCCAGCCCAGCCCATGCGCTGCATGAGACGGGGCGCATAAATAGGGGCCACGTACGGCGGTGTGGAACGGGACGGGATCGGGACTGACCGGTTCCCCACACATCCGTGCCGTTTTTGCTGGGGCGACGAGCGCACTCAGCGTACCGCGTGTCCAGCCCCGCCCCGGTTTACCCGATCCATCCGCGGCGCCTCCCCCCGCTTTCCGCCGTCGCTTTCTTGGCCGATCTCGTGAAAAGGGACGCATATCATGTCAGAAAAAGAAAGAAAAGGGATGCATATCCGTTCACGGCCCGTCGACGTGTACCGGTGTACGGGTTGACGTCGCGCGCCTGCCGTCCGTTGTGGCGGTCGACGGTGCCTATCCGAACAACGGGCCCTCCACGTGTCCTCCTGCCCGGCCGTTGCTCCTGCTTTTTTTTTCATTGTTGCTTCAGCTCGGTTTGGATAGCTCGTCTATCCAACTCCAATCCAACTGATCTTCTAAAAATAAGCCGTGCAAATCCATTTGAGTATTTCCGTGCCGTTTTTGTTTTCAGTCAGTCAGTTGTGCGTGTGGGTCTGTGGGAGCCGGGGAACAGACGGATACGTATAGTCGTATACGCCATGTTTGCGACAGTGCGGGCGCGCTGTTGATTGCAGGTAGCGAAAGGACGCGTCAGGTTTTGTGCGGTGGCCGTTGCGTGATCGGGGAGAGGGCGGAACGGCAGCCGCAAAGCCATGAACGAACGCGTGGAATTGGTTTGGATAGAAACGGGAAGGGCCGCCGCAAAGCAGTGGCTGTCGATGGAAGCGAAGGGTGGCCGCACAGCCCCCGCGCCCGCGGGTGGATCGGACGACGCGCGTTCGTGTGGCCGGACGGCCGACGGGTGTGTGTGTGTGCGCGCCGCGGAGGAGCCTTTTTCAAGAGGCACCGCGTTGAAACATTTCAAGGGCGTCGTACTCAAGACTTACCATCAGGCGCAGCAAGTCGCAACTCCGCTGATAAGCAATCGAGAGGTAAAGGACGCAATTCCGCTGATAAGCAATCGTGAGGTATAGGAGGATTATACTCCCCCGTTCCTTTTTATTCCGCATATAAAATTTGTGTCGAGTCAAACTTTACAAAACTTGACCAAATTTATATAAAAAAATAAACATCTACAATATCAAATATACATAATATGAAACTATATTTCATAATGAATCTAAAGATATTCCTTTGGCATTGTAAATGTTGATTTTTTTTTATAAGTTTGGTCAAACTAAATATACATTGATTTCAGACAAAAGTTATATACATACTAAAAAGAAATGAAGATAGTAGCTTACTATTGTACTTGCTCTAAGACAAAAGTGACGCCAAATACAAGAGGCTAGCACGAATCTCAGCGCGAAATTCGTTGCACCGAAATCTGCATGAAGTCCAAATAATTTTAGTTGGCTGTAAAAATAGCACTTTTGAAAATATTCCTGACATCTAAGTCCTCTAGATCACGGGAAGATCCTCCACGATAGCCTTGGTTTGCTTACATGGCATTTTTGTCCATGTGGTCGAAAGAGTTCCCAGCGAAAGTTTTGACCCGACTTTGTCGGTGCCGTCGACAGCGGCGCTTTCGGGCATTGTTTCCCTCCTTGGGGGCGTCGTTTTGATACTCATATTCCTCTATGAGTGGCTCGAGCTCTTAGGGTGAAAACCTAAGCTCCAAATGATTTTCGGAGCGGGCCACTGCGGCATCTTCGTCGTTTCCCCCTTGGGGGCATTGCTTGGGAAAGCTAGCTTATGCTTGATGTGTTTAGTTTCCTCCTGCGTGGGTTTGTTGGATGCCAGGGAAGCAACCCCAGACGGCTGATGCGCCCCGAGGCGACGGCCTTGGAAAATTATGCGTGAGGCGGCTCTATGGAACAGGGTAGCGACTCGACTTTTGCTTGGGTGGCAACCTTTGGGCCACTTGGGCAGTAGGTTTGTTAGCCTGACCGATGCGCCCCATTGGGGGCTGTTGGACGGTATGTCAGGGCGGCGGCCCAAGATATGGTGCGGCGTTCGTGATCTATGTGTGTTTGTTCTGGGCAGTGTAGGTTGCGAGCATCTAGGTCGTGCGGCGTTGCAACTCGAGAGCCAGCAGTGGCATGTTGGGGTGGGCAGCTCCGGATGTGGTGCAGTGTTGGTGTTCTGCATGCAGTTGCCCTGAGTAGGGTGGGCTGCGGGCATCCGGGCCGTGCGGCGCTGCAGCTCGATAGCCAGCGATGGCATGACAGGGCGGCGGCCCCGGAAGGTGGTGTTGGTAGGCTGCACAGGGTGCGGCATGGCGGATGTAGGTTGGGCGGCGACATCAAGCACTTTTGACCTCGTGTCGTGTGGGTGACGAGATTGCTCTCGACGCTGGTGTTGGCGTCAAGACTTCTGTGGCAACGATGATGGGGGAGTGATGTTAGAGGCACGACAATGATTGCGGTAGTCGGCTCTTCTCCGGCATGTCCATGGGATTGCATCTGTTGGTTTGTTGCTGCAAAATCGAAGCTGCTGTGGTGGGGCCCACTGGTGTACGATGACAAACAACAGGTGGATTATTTGATGCAGCGTCACCTGTGCTTCACGGTTCTTTGTCAGAGTCGGAGCTACGTTGTCTGGTCGCAAGTGGCTGAGTCCTGGCACGGATCTTCATTTAGCTCCACACGACGTGTACAACGTAGGCTGAGTTGACAAACGCCTACGACGAACTTGGAGTCGTTGGTTTTAGTAATGACGATGACACCTCTAGGAAAGGAAGGAGTGATAATGATGACGCCTGCATACTGTCTTGGTGAGGTTCTCTTTGGAGCGGTGTGAGTGGGGTAGTTTATGTATGTCAGCTCAGTGACTGTGATAGGAAATATTCGCACTATATAGAGTATCTTGACTCTAAATAGTTACATGCAACCCTTTGTAATGGATGTACGCTATAGAATATATACCGTAGTGTGTGTAGTTCAATGGTAAAACATCTTCTTGCCAGTGCTTCAAACAATTTTGTCTTTTCCATATTACCATATCTCTAGAGTCAATAATTTTCTACGAGAAACTACTAAACTCAATCACTTGCTTTGTAAAAGGAGTTTATTAAATCCATATTTTTAGTTCCACTACACTACCAAATACGGATACGCCCCCATGGGCTTTAGCAATGTTATTGATTAATTCCCCCTTCTATATCATAAAGAAAAGATGTAGTATTTTAAAACTTCTTGAACCAGCCTATCCTTCCTAGATAGGGGACTTCATTTTTTTTATTATGTCCCTTATCTTCCTTTCATAAAAAGGAATGAATAGCTTGGCTAGAGGGAATAACCGAGCCAACTTTTCCGTCCGATTTTTCATAATTAATTGGATAGTCAGGTTTTCACCAATTAACATCCCATTTATCCATTTTGGGCTTGTCTTTGTTGGGCAATGCATATCCATTTATTTTCATTATTTTCTTTTTTTCGTCAATTTGAGGGATTACCACGTAGTTTGGTACCTTTTGTGTTGGGTTTGTCTTTGTTTGGAAAAAGATAATCTATATCCATTTAGTTTCATTGGATTTTTTTTCTGTTTTGTCAATGCGCAATTGTAAATTACACATTTTGGTGTTCTACAAAATGACAAAAACAAATAAACCTAAAAGGGTACTTTCATTTGTGTTATTATGATACTATAGAGAAGCCCATGGAGATACACATACATGACAGAAAATGTTCATTTTCACATACATACTCCCTCCATTCCAATGAATAATGCACACATGTTTTTTGAAATTCAACTCTGACCGTAAATTACATCGATAATATGAATTTTTGTGACCTCATAATTCTACTGTTGAAAACTTATTTTCAATACTAATTCAACTGTATATTTGTTATTACATACAAACTGCATTTGATTGGTCTAATTTATGATCAAAGTTAAATTTTAAAATGCGTGCGTGCCTTATTCATTAGAATAAAGTGAGTAGAAGAGAAACACATACATACATGTGTCAATTTCTATTTGTTCTAAAATTTGAATAAAGCTCAATTGTATTCCAGTCGACTGTCAAATAGACAGTCCCTTTTTTACATTGACAATAATTGTGCAGTGACCTTATAATCAACAATCAACGACAGGACAAGTACAAATACAAGTCATGCTTGCTTAATTTCGAGACGAGCCGTTCTTCGCCAGCAGAACGAAGAGGCTGTCGTCGAAGACGGTGCGCGCGGCGTCCTTCTGAAGGAAGCCGTCCTTGTCCTTGGCGAGGCTGTACAACAAGTCCCACTCCGCCTTCGACGCCGCCCTGAGTTTTTAAGCAACCGCCGGCGGAGTTAACACGGCGACACTTCGACCGTCGGCGTGAATGGTTACGACCTACTACTATAGGGTCTAGAGATGATTACCTTCCTATGTCGTCGCCGTCCATCCTGTTTGCGGTGCGCATCGCCTCCAGCTCGCGCTCGTTCACAGCATTCGGTTCGACCTTGCCATGCTTGGTGAATATCTCGTTGAACTTCGCGGGGACAAACCTGCACGCCAAGTGGATCGATATAGCAGAGATGTTGGCATGATGGTCTTTCACATTTGGGCACATGTACAAAATGATCAGGGCGTATGTGTGGTCTGTATACCTCCCTTGAGCATCGTACGAGCCGCTGTCGCTTCCGTGGATCCCTTTATGGATGTTCTCTATGTAGATTGAGAACTTTGACGTCGTAGCATTTTCCTGCATGTTCTCTTTGGATCAACGATGATGTTTCTATACTTTGTTCTAAACATGCAAAGGATGATTCTTCGGCATTACATGTACTGATCTGCAAATTTTCGCACTCGCATCATGTAAATTACGCCTTTTTGTAAATTTAGACGAGCCCTCCTAGAGAACGTTATATCCATGATCCAATGGTCCTGGAGCCTCGAGGGTCAAAAACCCAGGGCAGGAGTGAATAAACTCTTCGATAGCGCGGAGGGGGAAGGATTTCGTAAGGGCATGTACAATAATGCTATCTTACGAGTGCCACGTAGGATAAATGACGAGGTGGAGGAGAGATAACTCATAAGAAAAGGCTTGTCTTTTCTTATTTAAGACAAGACAAGAGATGATCTCTTAGCAAAATTTATCTCATCATGTTTTAAGGAATGACAAGTTATTGAAGATAAGGCTAAGATATAACCCATTGTAGATATATTTTTTTGTCATCTAACTTAAATTAAGAAACAATATAACGGAACGAGTTATGGCTTGTCACATCGTTTTGACGTCGCTGCCGTCTGATTAGATCGATCCGCCATCGTCTGCCGTTTCTTGGGCTGCTGTTCCGTACACTCATTTAGGCCCACTGTGGTTAATCAGGCCTGGACTGGTCCATCACCATCATCTGCTCTTCTTGGACTGCTGCTCCATACACGTACGTAGGCTCATTGTGCTTAATCAGGCTTGGGCTGCTGGCAGGCACCGACCAATCTTTATGTCAAAAAAAAAGGCATCGACCGATCTTTGTTGCGAGCCTTCCGCTCCTCTTGTGATGGGTGAAGGAAGTAGCAACGGCGCCGGCGGCGGCAACAGCTGCACCACGTTCTGAGAGGGTATCCATATACGCTCTAGATGATTGTATGCACAAAAAATGAAAATAAGTAGAACATCCTATATCAAAGCCTTCACTGCATAGATCACCAAGTAACCAAATGCTGATATAGTCAATATTACGAAGATAATCATCAAAATCACCATATGGCAAAGCTGGTTAGTAAATAAACAATCCTTCCCTATGTAGCTTTATTGTAAAACAGAATGCTAATTCAACTACATTTTTTTTCTAACAATAACAGATTGAGCTGCCACCGAGCCACCTCCCTCCCCCCCCCTAGCCAGTTTGCATTTTCATCTATGACATGTCACTTAAGCAGCCTAGACACCCTTGTTCCATGGCCATGGCACGAGCTAACCAATATGATGTTCTCTTGTGTGGCTTTGCACCAAACACGTCTACTTGCAAGTTCCCGTGTTATTAGTTTAGTGAATTGCCACCAAAATATTATACCAAATATTCATCAGATGGAGTTATATATTCGCAACATTATAATTCTATAACTTTGGTAGACATTTCTATAATTTTCCATGAAACTAGACGAGCGCAACAACGCGTGCCATCATGTTCTAGTGAAGACTTAAGATAAAACCGCTTTATTAATCATTGTACATGCCCTAAACACTGACGACGCGGTCAGAGTTTCCCTATGTAGTCAGATGAGGGAGGTGCGGGGACGCGGTAGGGAAAGCCTACCCGCACTTTCATCCATGAGAGCAAGGTTTTCGTTAAAGTTGCACCTAACCACCAGAAACGGATACCCTAAACACTGGGGCCTCCTATTGGGTGCCTTAGGCGCCGTTTGAGTTTCTTGACACCAACGAACATGATCAACTAGGCCGGCCCATGTAGGCAAAATTTTATGTTTTGACCCTTTTTTGAAACATATTCGAGATCTGATCCTAAGTTGAAAAAATTTCAAGATCTGACCATTTTTCTACCGCCAGAGTCCATGGCGGTAGGGTCTAACAGCCTACCGCCAGGGACTTTGGCGGTAGGAAACATCTCTACTGCCAAACGGGCTGGCGGTAGTCTGCACAACCCTACCGCCAAGGTGCTTGGCGGTAGGCACGAGCACACATTGTGTTCAATACTTAGGCGAGTTTTGACGGTAGGGCATGCAACCCTACCATCAGGGTCCCTGGCGGTAGGCTGTTATACCCTACCGCCATGGTCTTTGGCGGTAGCAAAAGGGTCAGATCTTGAAAAAAATTTAAACTAAGGTCAGATCTCGAATAGGTTTAAAAAAAAGTCAAAACACGAAATTTAGCCGCCCATGTAAGATAAAAAAAAACTAGGCCGTCCCATGTAGAAGGCAAGCGCTCGATCGCATTTGGCCGGTTTCCCCTTGTTCGCTCGATCGATTTGATCGATCGTGGTTGACTGGTCAACCGTTGACTTTTAAAAAATAAAAAAAATTGAAAAAGTTCGTGAAACCGAGCGCCTCTGAAACGACAGAAGACGTCTTCTGCTAGTCAACATGTGCAAGAAACAGAGACGGGGAGAGCGAGTGAGAGATCGAGCATCGTACAGGTCTGGTCTTGGGTCCGATGACTCCGTTGATCAAGGTTGCCTTGACGGTGGCCTCGGCAGCTCCAAGGCCGATGGCTCGAAGCCCTGCATGCATGCACACAAGGGTCAAGAGGTCTGCAGCCACGACCAACGATCGACGCGAAAAGAAACTTTCGTTTCTTCCACCGGGAAGCGGAGAGCATGCGATGGTCATTTCGTCACCTTGCTCGGTCTCGAAGAAGGAGACGATGCCGTCGTTGTCGGCGTCGAAGAACGCCACGTGCTTCTGCAGCGCCGTCGTCCAGGCCGAAGCGCCGCCGTCCGCCGACACCGCATGGCTCCCTTCTCGGAATCAGAATTGAGGCGAATAAGCCAACTGTAATTTGCCGAAAACATACAACGAAGCTGGCGCCCCGGAAACATTATAGGCTTACAGAAGGGCACGACGAACAGAAGCAGGAGAGGCCCGGCCACCGCCGCAGGCGGAGACGGCATACGCTGGCCGGCGCTCATCGTCTCAGGCGATTCCTCCTCGATCGACTCTCTCTCTCGCGCGCGCTGGTTCCTGATCAATGCTTTTCTTCTCACCTGCGTCTGTGCCTTGGTATGTGTCATGTTTATAGGATCATAAACCTTGCACTGTGGGTATGCGTGTGATGGCCTCGTCGTCACAGGCTGGCTAGGAAGATCTCGCATGATTTCATCGGAGATTACAGAGCACAAAAACGTGGACTGCTGCCTGCAACCGGACGAAAAGCTTGTGAAAGCCAGCACGATCCTGAAGGGTGAAGCAGCAGGTGGGAAATGAGCCAGCAGATACGGCTCCAACCAATCCACGGGCGTGAATCCAGAGAAGATAATAAGTATTCGCGATGGACATGGGGATGGGAGTGCTCCCAGCACCGCCAGCACCCTCTAGCGCCTTCCTTCTGCCGCCGCTGCCGCCGGCGTGGGCCGCGGTGGCGGCGGGCCCGGTGCCGAAAGAATCTGGGCGGGTGGACGCGGTGGATCTCATATGAGGCGGCAGGGGCAGCTCCTCTCGTGCGATCCGAAGGCGGCGGCTGGGGCGGCGACCTCAGGCCGTGCGGCGATGGCCGGTGCACCATAGCCGGCGGAGCGGCGGTCCTGAATGGACTGCGGCGGTGGCAGCACCTCATCCGACGTGATGAGCTGTTCTGGTCGGGATGGTGATGGCGGTGACTGCGGATCCAACGCCCCGATTGGATCCGTCGTGGGGACGCCTTCCGCCGACTGGCGGCGTGTGGAGGGGCCGGTGAGGAGATGCCGGATCTCTGCCGGAGTACCGACGGCGACATACGTCTTCGTGGCGAGGTTTCGCTCAGTTCCAGCCAGCTGCGAGGTCGGGAAGACGTGGCTTCCGGTGAAAATCGCCTGACTGCGGTCCTGGCGGACGATGGCGGCGTCTCGGACGTCGTTGCCTTCTGGAGGCATCGTCGTTGCAGGTCACGTCAACCTGATCGGGAAGCTCCGGGGAAAACCCTAGATCTGGGTCTACCAGATCGGACGATGACGGTGCCTCCAGTGTCGTTCTCCCTCCTGGGGGCATCGTTTTGGAGCAAGTGCTGGTTGAAGGGGACAAGAGGAGGAGCGGTGTTTCATCTTCTCCATTGATAACAGTGGATCTCAGCGGCGTGGTGCAGTGGAGACTCGGCGCCCGATGAGCGGAGATGGACTAGCGCTGGAGGGTGACGCTGTCTGGTATCGTGGTGGCGTCGGTGACAGCTAGATCGGGCAAAGTAGATGCAACAGTACAGCTCTGAAGATGGATTGGTGACAGGTGGCTGCGGCGGCCTCATACTCGGCAGGCGTCCTGGGTGAGGAGTACACTGGACTGGTGGATGCCCATACCCGGCAGGCGTCTTAATTGAGACCTCAAGTCTTAGATGTTAGGTTTGGCTGCGAGATCTGTTTGGTATTAGGCCTAGACTTTTAGCGCCCCTTCATCAACTAGATAGGAGTAGCGACAGATGTTGCTTAGACGGTGGCTTTAGTCTTACTGTTGTATGACTTTATAAGGTCTTGTGTCAATAATTAATAAAATGGTTGTATGCATCGTCCAGATGCAAAGACCTGAAGTCTTCCTCATTTTCTAAAAAAACATGGGGACGAGAGAAGATATGATGCTCATTTCCATCACATGGACTCTAAAAATTATGATCAAAGTCAAATTACACATCGAGAAGCATAAAAGAAGAATCGAGGTGTGAGTGGTATTGGTTTTTTGCTTTTGCCTGTTTATGACACTATTCATGCTGGGTTTTGAATTTTGATCTGGAATTTGGCGCATGTTCGCAGGTTGGTGAATTTTTTGGGTACTTTTGTCATCCGCAGAGCCATTCAATGCAGGAGCGTTGCCACCTCATGACTTCTTCAAATTGGTACTATTTTATATTTTTTTCGAAATTTTAGGCAGGAGCACTGTCGTATCTATTAGAGGAAAAATGGAAAACCATAAGTTTAGTTACAACTCAAAGGAGGTAAGCTTTAACCCCCATCATCCTGGACAATTCTGGTGAAGACCAGCTCTCTCGTTCTGATCTTCTCTTGAATTCTAGAAAGTGTATCTTCGAGCTTTAAGTAATTGTGCTCAAACACTCTCCCATTCCTATTT